TACCCTCACCCTGTGGGAACGGAGTCCTGAGCCTCTGACATCTTACTCACCCTGAGCTCCAGTTGCCAGTCAGACTGGTCCTCACCAAGGCTGGGCTCAGGCCGCAAGAGAGAGTCTGGCAACAACTCAGGCTGAGTTGGTCTGAAGCAGCAGAACAAAGTTTGAGTTCCATGGTACCTGTAAGACCAACAAAGCTTTCGTATGCATGCACACTGCTTCAGGTATGTATGTATGTATGTAGCAGGGCTCTTTTTGTAGAAAAAGCCCAGCAGGAACTCATTAGCATATTAGGCCACACCCCTGACAACACAGCTCATTAGCACATTAGGCCGCACCCCCATGTTACCAGAAGTGTGGTTATCCAGCCACACCCACCTTTTGCTTGTTATTCTGTTTACCTTGTTTGTTGTCAAAACCCAGGGCTTTTTTTGTAGCAGGAACTCCTTTGCATGTTAGGCCACACACCCTTAATGTAGCCAGTCCTAATGCGTTTCTGCTGTTGGGTGTGGCCTATTAGGCTAATGGGTTCCTGCTCGGCGTGGCCAACTTGGGAGCCAGCCGGAATGCCGTTCCTGTGCGTTCCTGCCCAAAAATAGCCATGTATGTATGTATGTATGTATGTATCTGAAGAAGTGCGTGCACAATGAAGCTTATACCCAGAATTAAACTTTGTTGGTCTTAAAGATGCCAGCGGACTCAAAGTTAGAACAGACCTCCGTTCACTTCCAAGGCCAGACTTTTTAACAGGCTTTTGGCCCAAAACAAAACACCTGTCAAGCTGTCAGCTTCTGCTGTCTTTGGGGGAAAGACTCAGTAGTCCAGGAAAGAAATCCAGAAAAGAAACTATTGCTAGGGTCGCCAGCATGCAGGTGGGGCCTGGAGATCTCCTGCTATTACAATTGATCTCCAGATGACAGAGATCAGTTCCCCTGGAGGAAATGGCTACTCTGTAGGGTAGACTCTATGGCATTGTACCTTGCTGAGGTCCCTCTCCTCCCCAGACTCTACCCACCAAATCTCCAGGTCTTCCACCACCCAGACCTGGCAGCCCTAGCTATTGCTGATCCTGACTTTGGCACATGGCCACTTCATCTACTTTTGTTGAAAAAGCTGCCCGGAAAACAGATCCTGACAGGTAATTTCAGTTTCTCGCAAATGCTACATGTCAGGCTTTTCTTATTGTTTGACGAAGAAAGCCGATAGTTTTCACAGACGAGACATTCATCAAATAGCCCTTTCTGACAACTGGCCCTGCTCTAAGGTAGCTTTCTTTTGTTTTCCTGTTCCTGAAGCAAGGATGCTATTGGACCAGTTAGACAATCCTGACAGGTAGCAATTTCAGACAGACCGCCTGACCAATGATAGCAAAAGCAGGAAGGGTTGATGTTGTTGGAAAAACTGGCAAAAATACTTAGATATTCAGAGTTTGCAATGGATCTTTGCTTCACTGGAGAGGAGGCATTTCTTTCTGCGTAGAAATATTTATTTCTAAGGGAAGGGTACGCAGGAAAAGCTACAAAACAACAGACCTAAGGCTACATCTCTACAGCGACAGAACAGACCGACCACACGGTCTCTCAATAACAACTGTAATGGAGATTCTTCTTCTTCTTGACCCCTAGAAGGAAATCACCTGAATGCATTAACCAATGATCGTGAGTAAACAGACTTCGGTTTCCCCGTATTTGTTCCCATTGGTTCTGAGCCAGGTTTCCCTTCCAGGTCAGTCTAAACCAGTGATGGCAAACCTTTTAGAGACCAAGTGCCCAGACTGCAACCCAAAACCCACTTATTTATCGCAAAGTGCCAACATGGCAATTTAACCTGAATACTGAGGTTTTACTTTAGAAAAAACAACTCATACATTAACTTAAGATGATCCAAACAAAGCAAGGAAAGCAATCCCAAATGCTTTCATTTACTTAAAATTATTTGGCAGAGAATTCGACACTTTAATGATG